TCAGTTTATACCTATCGATAACTACACTAAATATAAATGGATTCAATGCACCAGTCAAGAGACAGAGCAGAATGGATAAGAAAACAGAATACTTAAATATGCTGTGGACAAGAGACTTCTCAAAAAGACAGAGACAGCTTAACTGCCCATCAAGAATGGTTAAACAAACTTTGGTTCATATGCACAGTGGAATACTATGTGGCATTGAAGAATTAGGGATCGGCGAGACACCTCAGTACATGAATGAAGCTGGAGGACATTATGCTCAGTGAGATTAGTCGATCACAAAAGGGCAAATACTGTGTGAGACCAATATTGTATAAGGTTAAGACAGGTTTTCTTAATAACAGAACCCATCTGTGATGGTTATGCAGGACGTCAGTCATTCACATGTTAACATGGGTGATAGGCAGTATACGAGAGGGAGACACAGGGAGGAATGCTGTAGTTATATATTTTGTTGTTGTTGTTGTTAAGTACTATGGAGTCGGTTCCGACTCATAGCGACCCCGTACAGGGTTTCCAAGGCTGCAAATCTTTATGGGAACAGAAAGCCTCATCTTTCTCCTACAAAACAGCTGGTAGTTTCGAACTGCTGACCTTGAGGTTAGCAGCCCGATTTGTAACCAGTACACTAGTACTGTGAACTGTTGGTACCTGGAGAGGATTGAAATCATTGTAATGAAGCAGAGTATATGATGTTCTGAATATAAAACTGATGATCTGCTCTATAAACCTTCACTCAATTCACAGTAATAGTTTAAAAAAAAAAAAAACTGTGCTCAGAGATGCTGTTCACACCTGTGACTCAGCACTTAGTGGGCCTAATCATCCCAGGAAAATATGAACCCATAATTGTCTTAATTCTGAGTACATGAAGGCAAATGTAGAGAAAAGCACTGACCTATGGTGTTAGTTTCCTAAAGGAGTCTGTGCTGTTTCCTCTTGTAATGACTTGAAATTAATTGTCTTGAAGTAGAGTGGGAACAACTTAATATTTAAGCCACTACTTAAAATAGAGTAATTCTGTGCTAATCTCCTTAGATGATAGAAACCAGACACTGTATTTGGGTCAGCTTATGGCTGCCAGTATAGACTTTAAAACTTTTCATTTCACAGCAAGAAATTCTTTCTGATTTATAGTTATGGCATAAAAATAAATCAAATCAAGCTTTCAATCTAGTGGTCCCTTCTTTAAGCTGGTGGCAGGTTTCCCATTGTGGTAATCCATAGCATTGAGGATGGGGAATGAAGCTGTAACTAATTTTCAGATTCTTCCTGATGTGCCTTGCTTGGTTTTATCTTGGGTCCACATGCACTGAAGTGGTATTTCTGGTGTTAGATGATAAGCTCAGATTCTTTCAGAGGATTTTACAGAAGCCAACATGGAAAAGACTTCAGTGAGGCTATCAGATATATAATTGACCGTGACATTTGTTGGAACTGCTCTGCTAAGAACCCCTGAGTACCCAAACTAGGTTTTCTGCACATTCACCTCTGGTCTAGAGTTACCCAGCTCATCTTAGACTTGTGCCAGCCTTCTCCACGTAATCACTGAATCATCAGGTGTTTATGTCATTATACTTTGTATACTTTCAATATCTAACTGACCTTTTGTGATTATTCCTCAAAAGGTCAGTTAGATATTACAGAATCATAATTGAAATAGCTAATATAAAAGTATTTCACATAGACATTTTTTTGTAGTTTCTAAATTAGGAAGAATTGGAATCAGCTCTAACAGTTCTTTACCTTTTCCTCAAAAAAAAAATGTTAATGACTCATAAATTTTAGGATTATCCATCCAAGAGAAAAATGGATAATATACAAAAAGGGGGAAATGACCAATAAACATAAGAAAAATAGTCCATGTCAACCAGTAAAAAAAAAAAATCAAAGCAATGATTTTTTTTTTTTTTTTAAGAAATGAAATTTAAAATAAAAATCTTTGCTAACATAGTAGCCGTGGATCATAGTTTACTAACTGCAAGGTCAGCTATTTGAACCCACCAGCTGCTCAGCAGGAGGAAGAGAAGGCTTTCTGTTCTCAGAACGGTTTACAGCCTTGGAAACCCTGTGTATGGTCACTGTGAGTTGGAATCGACTCAAAGGCACACAGCAACAGCAGCAGCATGCTAACCTAGTAGGTTAAGAAACAGTTAAACAAATGAATTTGCAACCCTATGTAGAGTTTCCAGGGAGTGGCTGGTGGGCTTGAACCCCTGACCTTGCAATTAGTTAGTCCAGTGTTTATCCTAAAGCACCATACCAGAACTCCTAGTGGGAGTAAATTTGTACTATCTTACCACTGTCATTGTGTACTTAAAACATGAACAAAGGTCCTTCAACCCAGCAGGTCTGCTATTAGACATTTATGTGCAAAAGTATGTGTATACGATGCTCACTAAGGAGCGTAGTGGTTATGAATTGGGCTGCGAACCGCAAGGTCAGCAGTTCGAAACTACCAGCTGTTCTACAGGAGAAAGATGAGGCTTTCTGCTCCCGTAAAGATTTATAGCCTCAGAAACCCTGTACAGGGTTGCTATGCGTCGGAATTGACTCCACGGTACATCACCACCACCACCACTACCACCACGAAAGATTTACAGCCTCGGAAACCCTGTACAGGGTCGCTATGAGTCAGAACCAACTTCACGGTACATAACCATCACCACCAAAGCCTGTACAGGGTCACTATGAGTCGGAACCGACTCCACGGCACATAACCACCACCACCGCAGTGCTCACCAAAGCTTTGTGGTTTTATAAGAAGAAACAAAGCTGGAAATGACAAATGCTTGTTAGTAGGGGGTCAGTTAAATAAAGGGATTTCATTGGTGGTTTAAAGTTATGAGACAGACCTCTGCTTTTTATATGCTTATTATTAAATAAAAAATTAGGTTACAGACAGAGGGGTAGTTTAAAATATCACACATGTATTAGAAACCTACATAATTTAATGTAGGTTGGTAATGGATTGTGCTTATACTTGGAGTGGTTGGGGGCCAGGGATGGGATGAATGAATTAAGAAATAAAGAGAACCAAACAGTGTTGACAGTAAAGGGGTTGTTGTTGTTGTTGTTAAGTACCGTGGAGTCGGTTCCGACTCATAGCGACCCTGTACAGAGTTTCCGAGGCTGCAAATCTTTACAGGAGCAGAAAGCCTCATCTTTCTCTCGTGGAACAGCTGGTAGTTTCAAATTGTCAACCTTGAGGTTAGCAGCCCAATTCTGATTCATAATAATATGAACTATTATTATTCATATTACTACAAATAATAATATGCTACCAGAGCTCCTTAGTAAAGGGGTAGAGGTGTCTATTCTTTCTATAATTTAGGTAAGCAGCCTTACCTATTGGCTTCATCTAAAATGTAAAACCATAGCTCCTGCCTTGGAGTGGGTTCTGACTCACAGTGACCGTTAGGAGAGAGGAAAAGCGCTCCCTAGGGTTTCTGAGACTGAATCTTTACAGAAGCAGAAGACTACCTCATTTCTCTCTGGAGGAGCAGCTGACCTTTCCGTTAGCAGTTCAATGCTTAACCCCACACACCATCAGAACACCTTAATAGTTTAAATTGTTTTTGTTGTTCTTAAGTGCCATCCAGTCGGTTCCGACTCATAGCGACCCTGTGTAGAATTTCCGAGGAGCTGCTGGTGGCTTTGAACTGCTGACCATGTAGTTCACAGCGCATTGCTGATCCTACAGCACCACACCAGGAGTCTCATAGTTTAAATAGTGAAAAGGGAAAACTATTTGCTTATAGGATACAAGATTTTGCATACAGGATTGTGTTAACTATTTAGAAGTGTTTTCAAGTTAGTGGTGTGGTTTATATATTAAGTGAAACAATCTGAATTTCTCCACAAAAGAAATCTAATGAAGGTAGAGGCATACATTGGAGATATTCCAGGTGCAGTTCCAGACTACTGCAATAAACAGAATATCAGAATAAAGCCAGTCACACAAATGTTTTGGTTGCCCAGTACATGCAAAAATTATGGCCACATTATACTGTGTTCTATTAAGTCTGCAGTAAATAGCATTATGAAAAGGTTTGAAATACTGTGAGAATTATCAGAATGTGACAGAGACACAAAGTGAGCACATGATGTTGGGAAAAAGTGGCACCAATAGACTTGCTCAGCACAGGGTCCCCACCAACCTTTAATTTGTAAAAATGCAGACTCTGTGGAGCTAGTTTGGTAAAGTGATGAGCAATGAAATGAGGTGTGCTTGTGTATAGAATCACGTTCCCCTTTGAGAGGCTTTGCATAACTGCCCTCCTTTGTATAAGCAGGATATTAGGCTGGGAAAGAAGAAACTAAAGGAATGTTTGTTGTTACAATTTAGGTCTGTTTTTAACCTCACAATCAAATAAGTTTGATATAGTTGCAAGATTAAAAAAAAATTATAATTGCATGTGTCCTGCATTTGCTAACTTGGCAAGGGATATTACTCAGCCTGTTAGAGACAGCGTTCCCTTTTTGTGATCTACACAGTAATCTTATAGATCACTAGTTTTCAAACTGTGTTGGCCACCTGGTTTGCTCTTTTATATACTCAGCTTTAGAAAGATATTCTTGAGCCAGGACTATGCTGCCTTATTATTACTGATAATAAGAAAAACTATACTCATTATTACCACTGATTTCCCACTTAAGGAATTAGAAGCTATAAAGTTTTCATTTCAAAGCAAGATAAAATATTGATCTTTTACTTCAGTCAGCAGAGTGACCTTTATGGCTTTAAAATATAGGCTTTTTCATTTTTGTTCATGTCAGTTCCTTGAATGAAATGAATTCTAGTATGAGGTATAAATCTCAAAAGGAGAAAGAAAAATCATTATTGACTTTTTTTCCTATACTCATGTGAACAAATCAGGTAGTTGCTCCATCATCCCTGCCTCTTCCCGCTGCAAGCAACTCACTAGAAAACCCCACAGTAATAAAAGTGGTGTATCAGGGTCACACAGGATAACTGTTGACTTTTCAAACAGAGCAAAAGCCGCATGTTTCGAGTACAGTTTAGTGGAGAGTCGAAGGAGCAGGCGCTGGAACGCTGCTGCAATTGCGTGCAAAGCCTGGCCCAGTACATCACCGTCCAGGTACCTGATGGAATCAGCCAGGAGCTGCCACCGAGGGCTGGCCCATTGAGGGCAGCTGAAAGCGCAGGGCAGGAGTGGCCTGAGAGTGTCCCGTTGCAGCCTGGCGTAAGTAGGCGATTGCAAGAAAGACAACTATGTAATGCACCACCAGAATTTGTCAACTTCACCAAGTTTGTAGATATCTAATGCTGAACAACTCATTTTTATTGAAGGCTAGATCCTCATTGTATCTTCCTATAATCTTCTAAATTAGAAGGAGCGGGAGCCCCAGCTGGCATTCTGGGTGTCACTATGGAACAGTGATTCTTAGAGTGTGGTCTGAAGACTTCTCCCCAAAACCTTCCTAGGGGTCTGGGTCACAATTATTTTCAAAATGTTACTTACTGTCAAGTCAGTTCTGACTCATAACAGCCCTGTGACAGTAGTCCTGCCCCACAGGGTTTTCTAGACTATAACCTCTGTGGAAACAAATCATTGTCTTTCTCTTACTGAGTGGGCTTGAACCATCAACCTTTTGGTTCGTAGCTAAGCATGTAACCATTGCACCACCAGGGCTACTTTTCAAAATAGTCGAAGATGTCATTTGTCCTTTTCTCTGTGTGACCATTTGCATTGATGGTACAAAAGCAATAGTGGCCAAAGCCTTAGCACCTGTCAAAGCAGGGGCACCAAACAAAAAGCAATTCTTCATAGTTTTGACCAGCCAGTCCCACTAAAACCAAACCATACCAAAGCAGAAATCCTGCCTACTAAAGTACCATGTTTGCACCAAGGAAAAGCACTTGTATGATTGTTACAGTTGTGGCTGACCTAGCCTCTAATTCCATAGCCACCATTATTACTTGAAAGAACAAACTGTTATTTACTCAGATCTGGGCATTCGGTGGACTTTTTTTCAAAAATGAATGCAGTAATAACCCTGTCACTTCAGGAAGACAATATGAGAGTGTTTCTTTACAATGACAAAATGTAAGCTTTCAAGTGAAGACTAGAATTTTTAAAAACATGCTTGATAGCTTCTTAACCTAGAAGACTTATCTCATGTTGATATTAATGACTAATTTTTTAAAAAAGCTTTTACTGTGAATTGAGTGATAGTTTTCATAGGAGAATATTGGTTTTGCACTTGTCCTATCATGTTTTGTTTCATTGTAATAATTACAATCCCCTCCATGTATCATCATTTAATGGTATTTGCTTCTATTCCCTTTGTTTTTTTTTTTGTTGTTGTTGGTTTTGATGTACATAAAAACACTCAGGAATATATAATCATTTAAACACCCAAAGAGTACATTCTGCATGCCAGCCTCTTGGCCGCCAGCACATAGCCTTTCTCTTTCCGTGAGTCTGGAGTCCTCAACTGCTCCCTCTCTCCATGTCCTCATCTCTACCTCCATCTCTGGTGTTGCTGCTTCTCTGGTTGGAGTTCCAGGTTCTGCTCATGCTCCTCTCCCTTGATAGTCCTAGGGTTCTCTGTTCCTAGAATCTAAGATTAACTACTCCCCTCTTTTTGTTACAAAACTTCTGCCTTTACAGTTGTGACAATTATAATTAGTCATGATAACAGTTACTCACTATTGAATGAAAAGAATCTTATCCTCTTCTCCTTTCACCAGACCCATCTTGACAAGATGAAAACTATTCAGTGGGGACTCCACCTTCCCCTACACACTCGGAAACTAAGCCAGCCACTTTGTGCCTTTATAGCTGCTCCCTTCCCGCCCCATTTTTGGTAGCCAATGTCTAAGTTGGTCATCCCTATCAATCCTGTATACCAAAGGGATAGGTGTGATCCTTGATGTGAAGACTCCTTCCCTCTCAGTTGGTATTTTGAGCTACTACATCCTGTACTGTACATAAGTATAGGTCAGGTTCATCAAATTGTAGTGATTAACACTTGCTTTGTTATCAAATTTCTTTATCTTCCTCTAGTCGAGCTCTAATTTTCAAGCCATCAAAGCTAGGTCAAACGGGTACTATCTGCAAGTTTGGGCATTCTTGTGAATCTCCCCCCACTTCATATCAGCTGAACACTTCATTCTCAGCTCTAACCCTCCATGGCTAGGTCAGTGTCCATGGGCTCAGAAGTTCCCATGTCTTCCCAGACTTTCGACCAACCAGCCCTTCCTCTTCTAAGGTGAACATAAATTTTTATGATCATAAAGGCTTTTCCTTGAAGCAGGTGCCACATGATTTCCTCTTGAATGTGTGTAGTTTGTTTAGTTTTAGTATTTTTAGAATTATTTTTCTTCTTTTATTGCTGCACTTTTTCTTTTTCTTATTTGAAGATGCCTTAGTATTAAAGCTGTCCATATCTCAAACCCTGGAGGTAGGTTCAATAGTATACCTCATCAGTCCTTGCTATATTCTTTTAAACATCTCCTCCCTACAAAAGGAATGGGCTGATTTATTATAAGGTACTTTTTGCCTATGATTCTTTGCCCTTGAAATATGTTTCTTTTCACAGAGGTCTCATTAACCAATTATTATTATTCCGATTATAATCGAGCAAACAGTGCAGGGGGCTACCAATTGTCTTATCAATTTGTCATACTGAGGTGGCTTCTGTATTGCAATGATACTTGAAGCTATGTCATTGGTATTTTAAATACCAGCAGGGTCACCACTGTTGGACAGATTTCAGTGGAACTTCCAGACTAAGACAGACTAGAAAGAAGGAGAGACAGACCCCTTCTGAATGGTTAGCCACTGAGAACCTTTGAATAGCAGTGGAACACTGTCAGATGTAATGCTGGAAGATGAGTCACTCAGGTTGGAATGCACTCAAAATATGACTTCTCAAAGTAGAATTGACCTTAATAATATTAATGGCATTAAACTTTTAGGGCCTTTATTTGTTGGTGGGGCACACCTCAAAATGAGGAGAAACAGCTGTAGACATCCATTAATAATCAGAACATGAACTGTACAAAATAAGAATCTAGGGAGATAGGAAAATGTCAGAAATGAAATGGATCACATAAAGATCATTGTCCTAGGCATTAGCAAGCTGAAACAGACTGGTATTGGCCATTTTGAATCAGACAATCATATGGTATTTACTTTGCCAGGAATGACAAATGGAAGAGGAATGGTATCATATTGTCAAGAAGAACATTTCAAGATTTATCTTGAAGTACAGTGCTGTTTGTAATAGGATAATATCTACATGCCTGCAAGAAAGACCAGCTAATACCACTCTTATTCAAATCTACACACCAACCACTAAAGCCAGTGATGATGAAATTGAAAATTCTACCAACTTCTTCAGGCTGAAATTGATCAAACATGCAATCAAGATTCAGTGACAATTCATTACTGGTGAAAGGAATGCGAAAGTTTGAAACAAAGAGGAAGGATCCATAGTTGGAAAATATGGCTTTGTTGATAGAAACTATGCTGAAGATTGCATGATAGAATTTTGAAAGACCAATGACTTTTTCATGGCAAATACCTTTATTCAGCAACTTTAACTATACTCATGAACCTTACTACATGGAATACACAGGAATCAAATTGACTGTTTGTGGGAAGAGATGATGGAGAAACTCCATATCATCAGCTAAAACAAGGCCAAGAGCTGACTGTGGAACAGACCATCCATTGCTCAGATGCAAGTTCAGGCTGAAGCTGAAGAAAATGAAGACAAGTCCTATTCCCACAAACAGTCAAAAGTATATCCCACCTGAATTTAGAGAGCATCTCAAGAACAGATATGATGCGTTAGACACTAATTACCAAAGACCAGAGAGTTGTGCAGTGACATCAAGAACATCATACATGAAGGAATCAAAAGGCCATAAAAGAAAAGACCAAATGGATGTTAGTAGAGACTCTGAAACAGGATCTTGAGCATAGAGAGAAGGTAAGATGAGTAGAAGAAATGAGGAAGTAAAAGAGCTCAAAGGACCTGGTTGGCCAGCATTATGGCAAGACCTGGGGACTCCTGGATCCAGAGTCAGTGACATAGCCACAGAGGACTAGAGTGGAGAATGAAGCATCCAGCTAATAAGAAGAGAGGGCATATGTACAAGAACACTCACACTTGCAGATAATACCCACTTGATCTGGCTTCAATGACTGGATGATCAGAAGAACTTAACTAGAAGACTAAAGAAGAGGAAAAAAAGAGTAATCTGATACAATTTGATGAACTTGACCTACACCTATGGATGCAGTAGCTCAAAAGAGGGAACAAATCTTTACAGCGAGGATCATTCCCACCCCCTCAATGCACAGGGTAGACAGGGATGGGTAACTTGGACACTGGCTACCCAAAATGGGGGTGGGGGGTGAGGGAGCTACAAAGGCAAGAAGTGTCTGGCTTAGAAGCTTTCAAGAGGAAGCATAGATCCAGAGGGCATGGAAGAAGGTAGAATCTCCAATCTGTCTAGGTGGGGCTGATGAAAGGCGATGGGGGATAGGTCTCTTGTGGTACAATGTTGTTGTTGTTGTTTTTAAGTGCTGTCGAGTCGGTGCAATAGTGAATAATTAATATCAGGACTAGCTGTGAGCTTTGGAAATGTAAAGGTAGACGTTTTGTAGCAAAAAGAAGGAAGTGGTTGACTTTGCAGGCTAGGAGTGGAGACCCCTGGGACCATGAAGGGAGAAGAGTGGAGTGTGGGACCCTACCCAGGGAAACAGTGATGCTAGAGATGGAGGCAGAGACGATGATGTGGAGAGATGGAGTGGGTGGGAACTCTAGACCCAGAGAGGGAGAGGGGCTGTGTGCTGACAACCCGGGGGTCAGGTTTGCGGGGTGTCCCCTTTGGTTGATTGATGATGCATGGAGGGAATTGTAACCATGGCAGTGTAACAATATACGATGGGATGAATGTAAAGCTAATGTTCTCCCATTGTAAGTTATCTTATAATTCATAATAAAACAGTTTTAAAAAAAAAGCTCAAAAGGCAACTTGAGAAGACACAGTCAAGTATTATAATGACGTATGTGCAAAGATCTGGAGTCTGAAAACCAAAAGGAAAGAACACACTGAACATTTCTGAAGCTGAAAGAACTGAAGTAAAAACCCAAGCGTCAGGTTGTAATATTGAAGGCTTCTATGGGCAAAATATTAAATGACACTGGAAACATCAAAAGAAGA